AGATGAGGTGCCAATAGTAGTGGATTAAGATTTGGTGTTGGAATGTTTGGGCATAGTCATGATGCTGCTGCCAAAGAATCTCAAGAACGGGCTAATTTAGTTCAGGTAAAATTTTTTTTGTGATTTTTGCAATTTGATTACTGTAAATGATTTATTTTTTTTATTTAATACACATATTATAATATTTAATAGGCAAAATTGATGAACTTCAGAGAAAAATTTTTGCATTAACATCACAACTTCAAACCAATATTTGATTCAGAAATAACCTATTTCTAATGATACCATATAAAGCATCAACAAGAGATTATATATTACAAGTAGCAACTTCTGTAGCATCTCGACTAAAACATACTTGTTTAGAATTAAGTAGGTTTGTATGTTATAATGAAATTCTTAAAAAAGATTTATATTCTACAGTAATGGAAAATAAAACATATTGGCAAAATCAAAGAAGTTATTTTACTCCTGGAGATAATAGTACTGATGAGAATTTATCATTTCTATTTATATCAGATTTTATATCAAAATTTCCTTTAAAAACTTTGGCAGTTCCTGAAATATTTAAACAATTATTTGTCAAGAAATCTATTAGTAGTAGTAATAAATTACTTGATCCTGCTGAAAGAAAAGCAGAAAATAATTCATGACCAGTTTATATGACATCATTACTTTGTAGTTTTACATCATCTTTATCTTCAAAATCAACACTTTCAATTAATGGAGATAATGAAGAAGAGTATGATTTTCAAGAAAATATTTCAGAGTATAAACTTGAGATATTTCCAAGAAATAGGAATTATAATGATGAAGATCGAGATGATATTAGTTTTAGAGATGATGCTAGTAGTATAATTATACTTGAAGATATTAAAGAACAAACATCTTTAGCAAATAAAAATGAAAATGAAGAATATGAAGCTAATATGCTTAATTGTCGCAGCTGATGCTGAAAACGGCTGATGTTAAAATTTGGGGTCTCTATTTAAATCTATAATACCTACTAAAATCCACATATACTTTTTATTAATAAAACTACTCTATTAACCCTAACCTAACTATGAAAAAAAAAGTGTAAAAAAAAGGCCAAAAAATTTTTTATAATTTTATAATAAAATATGAAAAAATTTCAGCATCAGCCATTTTCAGCATCAGCTGCGACATTAATTTAGGATCAGAATACAATGGAGAACATTCAGAAGAGATGAGAATATATTTAACAGAACATAATGAAATTGTAACAATATTATTAGAAAATAAGAAAGAAGGCAAAGCTAAGAATAAAAAAAAATTGATAATTGGAAGTGCCCCAAAAATTCAAATTAAAATTCCTCAAATTCAGCTGAATTTAAAACCTAAAAGTAAACTACCAACGAGTTTAGAAATAATATCTAGTGAAGTGACAGTACCTGTTCTTGTTATATCAGCTGTTGAGGAAGAATCAAAAGACAAAATAAATAATGAAGATATTTTGGATGATGGTAATGATCAATTTGTTGATGCAAAAGAATGGGGATCATAATTTTATTAGAATGTTAATTATGGTTTTAAGGATTAAAAATAATAATATATATTTTTATAATAATCTTTTTTAAATTAATAAATCTAAAAAAAATTGAATAAATTATTTTTATTATTTATTATATCTTTTTGTATATTATTTTTTTTTTGTAAATTTGATTTTTATTTTTTATAGATTTACATATTATAATGATTTTTTAGTTAAATATATTGTGTAATGTGATGAGATTTTATTTAGTATAGATTTATAGATCTATTAGCATTATTAGTACTAATAATTCATTTATATACAATATTATAATTCTATTTATAAAGTATATATTCAAAAATATTACAGATATCAAACTCTAGAGTTAATATTACTATCGTTATATGCATATGTATATACAAACAAATGAAATTAATATTATTGCTTTTTTCAAATTAATGTGTTCATCAAATTTTATGCAGATCACACCACATACAATCTGAAAATCTAGAATCGGGAATCCAAAATATAAAATATTTTATGTAATTATAAACAAATTATCATTATTAATAAATATATTATATAATTATTAACAAATTATCGTTATAAAATATATTATGCAATTCAATTCTCCTCAACGATCACTCGTACCTAAAATTTAGCAAATGAAAAACAGAACTTTTGTTGAAGAGACATAGTCTTTTTGCAGTTTGTTTAGAGGTTAACTGCTTTTCTAAGAGACTCCTCTATAGTAGACATTTGGCATGCAAGCCAGGAGCATTATTATACAAAATAACTGGCAAGTGGTGCCCTTGTATAAAAAATCTTGGTGAAGTGCATCACTCATTTTTGTCAACGAAATAAGTTGGTTGTTACTTCAAAAAAGAATACAGGAGAAACAACAAAGTTCTAGTAGCCCAACACACTTTTTAGAAATTTTAGAAGTACCCACAACCATATACCTATGAACATATTCTTGCAGTTTTGGAATTTTTTTTAGAAATTTTGGCCAAAAAGTGGGAAAATTGGCATACCCCCTCCAAAAGATTGGCAGTATTTACTTCTTCCAAATTAGGATGTGTCTACTGAAATGGAACCTCTCACGAGCTTATTTGGATTCTGCTTTGCCAAATAAACAATGACGGCAGTACTATTTACAGTATAGAAATCAGAGGGATTACGTGTAAAAATTTCTTAACATTAGATATTTTTTTTCTTTCTACTTCTTTTTAATACATATAGTATTAAATTAGATTTTTTTTCTATACAACATTATATAATTTTTAAAGCCTAACATAGGCAATAATAGTATCGTCATAGCCATCTTTTTTTTCGGCCTTTTTCTTCTTGTTTCTTTTTTTTTATTTTGTTTGTTTTTTTTAGTTTCGTTTAGTTTAGACCTTCCATCTTTTTTTAGTTTTCCTTTTATTTCGTATTTGTTTTTTTTTTGTTGGTAGTTCTTCTACCTAGGAGGCTAGAAGAAGAAGGTTTGGAAAGAAGATGGTCATGACGAGCTGGTAAACCAAGTTAGTGATCCGGAGATAGGTCGGTTGAAGCAAAGTAAGCTGAACCTAACCGAGGAAATTGAACTCATCTTTGGCAGCAGCATCATGACTATGCCCAAACATTCCAACACCAAATCTTAATCCACTACTATTGGCACCTCATCT